TAGTGATCATGATACACAATCTGAATTAGATGAAGAAGATATGTTAGTTGAAGACAATAAACTTAATATCATTTAGGTAAATAGGAAATCATAGTATATTTCTCTTTAAAATTAGCTAAAAAAATAAGTTTACTAAGTGAATAAGAACTAATCAACAAAATTTAGTTATTCATCTGCCAGGAGTAAAAGAATAAGGGAAAGACACTCCAGAAAAATGTTTTGACTTGTTCATAACACCAAAAATGATTAAAGAGATTATTTATCATACCAATGAAAAAATTAAAATTATATGTGTTAAATATAATTAAAATTGAATATTATAATTTTTGTTTAAAAGGTCTAAAATTGAATATTGTATTTTTTAGTTTAAAAGGTCAGTGATAAGAAAAAGTAAAATGAAATTGTAAAGGACATATGTATTTTGTTTATATGTAAATACGATATTATAAAAAATGTATATAATGACAAGAATTTTGTATATAGAAATATATAATAAAATTCAATTTGAAAATCAACAAAGAATTCTCCCGTTGCCTTCCATTAAATTAAAATGGTGGCAGCGAATTAAGACGCTACAAATTATACTGAAACATGGTGAAGCTAGACAAAAGAGGATTATGGAAAATGATTTTAATATTATTCTAAAAAAAAAAGTAAGAGATGATTAAAATATAAAATTGAATAAAAATATAATAAAATTTTAATGTTGAAATATTTAAAATAAGACAATATTGATAAAACGAAATTAATAGATTAATTAGAAGATTATTTAGTAAAAAATTTAAGAATGATGAAATACGATGAGTACGATAAAGGGATGAAGTCGCACGTACATAGATATCAGTGGAAACCGAGATACGATAATTATGAAGATTCGAGACATACAAATAATTATGAACCAAGATATAGAAACAATTATAATCCTAGAGTTTATGATAATGATAGGGGGTATAATGGATCAGGACCGTATAATAATTTTACAAGATTTAACAACAATTATAACTACGATAACTATAGATATAATAATAATGATAATTACAAATATAATGAAAATAATTATAGATATTATAGACATCAGAACGAATCGAGATACATACCTAGATACAATAATAATCAGAACAATAATCAGTCATACAAGAACAGATTTGACGTAAATAGAATGGATGATGATGACAGGGCAAATGATGCTTACAAAGTTACGATATACCTTAACGATATACCGGTAGAGATGCAGATAAATACCGGGTCACGATTTTCAATATTACCGATTAATATTGCTAGAAAGATAGGAATCAAAGTCTTGAATAAATCGGATACGAAACTGACTGGTTATGATGGGAGAAGAATAGAGGTGCTAGGAATTGTTAAAATAAAAGTGAGATATGAAGACAAAACTCAAAATTTAGATGCGTATGTAGTCCAAAATGACAATATTGCAATTCTGGGAAGGACTAAAAGTTTTTGGGAACATACTTAATAAAATTGTAAATATAATCGAGGAAAATAGAGAAGTAGATAATAAAAATTATGAAGGTACATATTACAATAAAAAGCATGAAAATTATAAATGTCATAATAATAAAAACTTGAATAAAATTGAATTGTGTAAATTAAATGTTAAAAAAGAAATAAATTCTTATAAATTAGAAGAAATAAATCATTTGATAATTGAATAAATAATAGTTATTAAAAACAATAATGAAATAATAGTTATTAAAAACAATAATGAAATTAAAATTGAAGAAAATAATAAAATAAAAAATTTTATAATTAATAAAAAATTTAAAAAAACTTTGGAAAAGAAAATTACAACAAAGGTGATTAAATATCGTGATGTTGAAAGAGAGATTAGGAGTACGATATGGAGATCGTATAATGGTAGGAGAAAGAGAAATTTTGTTATAAAGAACAAGTTAAAGAGAAATTATGATATAAAAAAGTGTTTAAATTGAAAAATAAAGGAGTAAAATTTAAAAATAAAAATAATTAAGTAATAAATAAAAAATTATAATATAAAATGAAACAATTCCAAATATTCTATTATTCTATATTCCATAATTCTTATTCTTATGATTGATTCTGATAAATTATTTATTCCATTATCATTATTCCAAAATTATTTTATTATTTACAAACATTGATAAAATGACGAGATGAACAGTGTGAAGATGATGTTCAAGCGAATGATTAGATGATAATAACAGGATAAGAACAAATCAATGAAAAAGATATGACTCAGGCTAAACAACGAACAAAATATCAAATTTCTACTACAAACAAATGAAAAAATTTTTAGAGGGGGAAGAAGTGAACAAGTTCAAGTTCAAAATTCTAAAATTCAAAGTCAAGTTCAAAAGCGAGAATATGACCTACGACATAGAAAATGATTAATTGTTATAAATAAATAAAATTTTGTAAAAAATATTTATATAAAATTTTGAAAGAGAAATGGGATGATCAATACAAACAGCAAATCAACAAGCAATGTTCAACTAACGACGTTTCAACAATGATGTTCAACCAACGATGTTTCATAATGTTCGATAATCAATTCAACTAACGATAATCAGATGGTCTAACAAACGATCTAAACGATATACTCTCGATGATAGGAAAGAACACTCTAGCTTTCGAAGGAAGAAATTTAAAAAGAAGAGGAAATGTTAAATATAATTAAAATTGAATATTATAATTTTTGTTTAAAAGGTCTAAAATTGAATATTGTATTTTTTAGTTTAAAAGGTCGGTGATAAGAAAAAGTAAAATGAAATTGTAAAGGACATATGTATTTTGTTTATATGTAAATACGATATTATAAAAAATGTATATAATGACAAGAATTTTGTATATAGAAATATATAATAAAATTCAATTTGAAAATCAACAAAGAGTTCTTAACTATACTGACCAATATGAAAATTCTACTAAAGAAGTTGATGTAACACAATTCAAGACATTATTGTGAAATGCTGGAATTTTTAGATTTAACGATCAAAATAAAAAAAACAAAATATTTTTTTCCAAATATGTAAAATAAATTTATGTTTAGAACACATTAATGTTTTATGTAATAAATGTTTTGCATGTCAAAACATATTTCAATGTTCTATATTTTTTTTATGTTTGAATTTATTAGTGTAATTTTTTTTTATATTGAAGAATAAAGATCCTTATAATGAATTATTATGATTATATGATAGATAAGTTATTTTATTAATTTAATATTTAAAAAAGTAAGCTTTTTTAGAAAATTTTGGCATAAATTATAATTATCTTCATCATCTTTAATCTAAGCTTAAGAAATAAAAATAAATAAATATTTTATCAAGTTTAAGGTTAGTTCTATCTTATATCCAAATATTAAATAAAATAATGAATATAACTGGAGATATATACATTTGAAATTGGGGCCTATAAAACCCCACCTTAGTACTAACGTATTTTTTTCACCAGAGTATTGAAGGGTTAAATGAAATTATTAACCTTTGAGAATAAAAAAATATATTTAATCATTAGTGAAAGTTTGTTTCTTATTTTAAAATAGAAAATATAGATATTTTTATTACATTAGTTCAAAAATAAATATAAATATTGGATTGGTATTGTTTTAAGAAATATAGGAAAATCGGATCAGATTGATTAAAAATTTGTGGGTCAAAATAGCCCTAATAATAACTTTAAAATAGTTAAGATATCTAATTCAAACTGGTTTACAGGCCTTTTTAGAGGTTGGTCCTGACAATTTTTAAAGGTTCAGTAAATAATAACAATAAATATATGTTTAGCAGTACGGATCAGGTTTTTCCCTGCAATATAGTGCTGTTAGATATACATTGTAAGCCCCATGTGTTAAATATGATAAAACTATTAAACTTGGCAACCTAGACCACAATAAATGTGCATATTTTGCCCAGCACATAATAATCTTTTGTGAAGGAAAAAGTCATAAATTTGCATAGTAACATTAAAAACATTTACGAACTTCTTAGTCAGCTTGGTCCATAAACATTTGACAAGTTGGTTTTCCTCAAATTTTTCGGATGTGTAAATTATTCAGTCCTATTGGTATTAGACAGAATCCAGACCAGGCCAATAGCTATTGGTCCATTTTCTAAGGTCATTTTAGAAAAAATTATTTGTCCATACAACTTAACAATATTTTTAAAAAATATTAGGCTCAACCGAGCCTGATCTTAAATTATTTTTTGAAGTAACCCCCCCCCCCTCCTGACCAAGCCCAAATGCAGGATGTGCAGATCTCTAGTCAGTGCATTTTCAATAATAATTATTTAATCATGTATATATTTATGATATAAAATATTAATAAGCACAGAATTTTTTTTTAAATATAAAAATTTTTTATGGCCTCTGAACTTGTCTTTAGTCTGGACTGGTCTTTGCTTTTCAGTTCAGTTCTTCACTAAGATATCTGCCTTCATATGGGGTTTGACAGATTCCAATTTTAAATTAATTTTCTTTTTATAATGTATTATTTTGATAACATAAAATCTTTATAAAGCATTTATTTATATATATTTATTCTCTACTAGGTGTATAATTCTCAAAATAAATAGAATGATTATTCAATAACATAATAAATATATGTCATAAATTTAGTTTATTATTGAATTAATTTCTATGCATTTATGGGGGATAAAAAGTATAATAATAAATCTATATTCTTAAAAATAGTATTAATTCTAAATTTCAAAAAAAATTGTTAAAATTAAAATGTAAAAACATGATTCTATAAAAAAAATATTTATATAAAAGTTTATAAAAAAAACACTGAAGCTGTCCCATTAATTTTATAGGTTTTGTAAAGATTTAATAAAAAAAACTCTGAAGCTGCCCCCTTAATTCTATATGTTTTGTAAAGATTCAATAAAATCATAGGTCTGAGCTTTATATAAAAGTATGCAGTTTATAAAAAAATTTAAAAAACATAATTTGTATATATTCAAAATATATCTATATGATTTATAATAAAAATGATAAACTTTTTTTGATGTCTCTTTAGGTATATTTCCAACAAATAATGTAAAGGCGACATTATCCACACTTGTATTATCACAGAGAATAATTTTCTTAGCATGTTTCTTTAGTCTAATAAAATTAATTAATCTCTATATTTGTAAAAACTTTTTTTGATTCGTTACATCTATAGGCTCTTTTAAAACCTTAGCCTATTAAAAAAATTTATTATAATATAATAAAAATATAACCTTTGAAAAAATTTCAGAAAGAGTTGTTTTATTATCGACATATCCAAATAACGATTTCGTTATATCACCTGATGTATAATTAGGCATATATTTAAGTGACCAAAAGGAATGGGTTTAGTCAGGTTCAATTTAAATTATTCTTTGATTTGGGTTCAACTCATATAATTGTCATTTGCACAACTGATTTATTTGACTTTATTGGTCATAAATATATTAAAAAATCGGTATCGTCCCTCCAATTCGTATGAAGATTATGAATTAGGCGTTTTGTCGTATTGCCAAGATTCCCAAGAAAATCTTGAAGATTCCCAAAAATGTATAAGTAAAACAAATTAATATTTACAATAATTTTTCAAAGCTATTAATCTACAAGGTCCAGTTTTGGATAACACAAATAGTCCGGTTTTGGATAACACAAATAGTATTAGTAAATTTTAATTATATTGGTATAACTATTTTTTAACAAAGTTATGAACCAAGAGGTCTTGGAGGAAATAGATGCCCATAACAAAAATACCATTAGTCCAAGTAAATAGTATCTTTTAGATATTTATAACATTTTTAAACAAAGCTATTATTCAAAACAATTCTAACAATCAAATGGTTCAATATAATTTGATTAAATCAAAATACAACAAAAATATTATCTATTCTAACAAATATTTAATTCAATTTATACATCATCATGCAAAAAAAAAGGAGATTGCATTTTTATATATTAATTAAAATTTTTATTATGAGATATTTGATATCTATTTTATTAATATTATATCAAAAATATATTTATAATAAAATTGTGGTGTCTATTTTATATTAATAGATCTTGAGTATTAAGAGTTTGCTAAAATATTGTAAATTATCTGCAATTTATTTTTTAGTATATACTGTTCTTGTATTAATATAAATATTAATTACCATTTATTTATTTAAATTTAATTTAAAATAAAAAGCATTTTTTAATTTATTTGTCAAATCTGTTACAACGTTTCAAAATTATACAAATTTATAATCGCTTCAAATATATTTGTGGCCATTTTAGGTCATTTGACGTTTTTTCATAAATGTTCATACGAAGAGGTGGACCCTCACTACGGTTAATTTTTTTTAATCAGTAATTTTGAAATTTATATTAGTTTAAACATTGTTTTATAATTAAATCATAATTCAATATTCCAAATATCATAATTGCTAATCAGACCAATCATTTATAAGTATTGGTTAAACAAATTTTAAGTTAAATGGGCGAAAAACTGATTGCAACATTTTGATATATTACGTGATACGTGATATATAGCGCATCGCCCTCTAACGTTGAATACACAACAGAGCTACGCTAGGTTTTCCTCATTTCCATCTAATTGGAACAATTTAATTTGGGTATAAAAGTAAAAATATGAGGAGCCCTCCCGTTTGTGGGCAAGCCGCACGTACTTGTAGGCACAACCTTTCGAAAATGTTACTTAAACCTCTATATGTTATAATTTAAAAGGAGTGGGACAAAGAAAAAGCCTATACCCGAGAATTACAGTATAATTTAATTACTTTAAAGGTGGGTGATGGCTGATTTTAAGCTTAATTTCTTTAGTGTAAGTTATTATTACTATCAATATTGAGATATAATGTTCATAGAATCTGTAAATAAATATGATTAAAATAAAATAATATTTACCGTTTTATCACTTCAAATTTTCCACCGGAAGTTTTCACATTTCAAAAAAAATTTCTGAAAATTTTGAATTCTTCATATTTAAAATTCAATGAAAGAATCAAAACCTTTTGATATATTAAATTTAGGAGTATTCATAATTTTTTTTTTACATGGTCATTTCCCAAATACACGTTTGCTAATCAGGCCATCTTAAGTCCAACAAGTTTATTAGCTTTTTTAAAGTAGAAAATTTAAAAAAAAATTTGGCTGCTAGATTTTTAAATTATCTAAGTCATGTATCTCATAATATATATTATTATACATTATATTATATTAAAGTGTCAGTATGAATGAACATAAGTATGAAATTGATTTATATAAGAAAGGGAAAATATATATGGTGTAGAGAAGTGTTGTTAAATTGCAGGTCGGGTCGGTTTGGCCGAAAATCCAGCAATGTTGAGCCGAAGAAACGACCTTAAACGCGAGCCAACATATTTAACCATAGATCAGACCCGACCCAATGCGCCTCGTGAGTCGATCCATCGTGTCTGCCGGATGGGTCGGCTGACTATGTCAGCAAAAAATATTAAACTAGTTTGTTTTAATCCGGGTTTAGAGTTTTTGATATTAGAAAGATGTTCTAAAATCTTTGGTTCTAGTAATAAATTGGCACTGCTATTATATTTTATTCAACCAGGAAAAGAATTATGAATTATTTTAAAACTATGTTTTAGGCCTGGTTAAAATTTTTGATACTAGAAAGAAGTTCTAAAACCATTGGGTCTAGTAATAAATTGGCACTGCCATTATAATTAAGTCCAAAAGGAAAAATACGAAATTTTTTTAAAACTTTGTTTTAAGCCTAGTTAAAAGTTTTTGATACTAGAAAGATGTTTTAAAACATTTGGGTCTATAAATAAATTGACACTGCTATTATATTTTATTGCATGAGGATAAGAAAATTTTGTAAACTTTGTTTTAAGCCTAGTTATAAGATTTTGATACTATAAAGATGTTCTAAAACTTTTTGGTCGTAATAAATTAATATTTCCATTTAATAAATTTTTTTTATAAATTTGTTTTAAATCTAGTTAAAGGTTTTTGATACTATAAAGATATTCTAAAACCTTTGTATAATAAATTGGCACTGCTATTATATTTTACTCCAAGAGGGAAAAAATTACCATTTTTTTAATAATTTGTTTTAACTCTCGGACTTGTGGCTGAATTTTACTTACTCCCTCATTATCAAGGAACGCAAGAGCAGAATTCAGCTGAGTGCATTGGCCTTTATGGCTTTTACACTCGTCGCTACTAAGTAATAATAATAATAATAATAACAATAATACCAAAAAAATTAAGTGTAGAGAATACTGCCAATTAATATAAAAATTAAAATGGCAAAAATAAATGACAATTAAAATTAAAAAACAACGACAATAGCGAGATGAGGTAAAATACATCGTTTATTTATAAATAAATATATGCAAAAAGATGTTATAAAATAATTGGGACTAGTAATAAATTGGCACTGCCATTTACTACACCCAGGAAAAATAAATATGTAAATTTTTTGAAATTTGTTTTAAGCTTAGTTAAAAGTTTTCATTATTTGAAAGATCTATAACCTTTGGGAACCTTTGGATCTAGTAATAAATTAGCATTGCCATTATATTTTATTCCATGAGGGAAAAAATTATGAAATTTTTTTTTAAATTTTGTTTTAAGCCTAGTTAAAAGTTTTGATACTTAAAAAATGTTCCTAATGGCTCAAGTAATAAATTGGCACTGACATTATATTTTCGTACACGAGGAAAAAAAAATTATGAAAATTTTTAAAATTTTGTTTTAAGTCTAGTTAAAAGTTTTTGATACTAAAAAGATGTTCTAAAATCTTTGGGTTTAGTAATTAATTGTTACAGTCATCATGTTTTACTTCACTAGAAAAAATAATTATGAAAAATTTGAAAAACTTTGTTTTAAATCTAGTAAAAATTTTTGATACTAGAAATATGTTCAAAACCTTTGGATCTATTAATAAATTGGCACTGCCATTATATTTTACCCCAATAGGGAAAAATATATGAATTTTTTTTAAAATTATTTTTAAGTCTTAAAAGTTTTGATACTAAAAAGATATTTTAAAACCATTTTATCTGCTAATAAATTAGCACTACCATTATATTTTACTCCTCGATGAAAAAATTGCACTAAGTCTAGTTAAAAGTTTTTGATACTAAAATGCCATCGCGTACGCAGGAATTTGGTCTGGGGGGTGACCTAGTTTGTAAGATATTTTTTGTTGATATGAATATTTTTATTAAATGTCAATCCTATTTGTGATAAATTTTTTATCGTTTTTTTTAACATGAATTCATTCTTCGTTTTTTCATAAATGAATTGAATATTTATGATTATTATAGAATTTTCTCAAAAAAAACTTTACAATAAAATTATTCTTGGGTCTTTAAAAAAATGATTTGTTTATTTTGGTTCTCTTAATTTTAAAATAAAAGGATTATTAATTTGTACCAGAATTTTTATATATATTTTGAATTGATTATTTTGAGTTTTGGTAAACTTTCCTTGTATTAGTATTAGACTTGGAAGGCTAGTTTTAGTAGTTTTTAATTTAGATTTTTCGAAATTAAGTTTAGCTTTCTTTTTCATCTTTGTGTTAAAAAAATTATATGCACAGAATCACTTAAAAGACCCAAAATAGAAATTTGAATTTTTTGAGCCTTTTTATATATAAAGTATAAAAAATTTAAATGTTAGAAATATAAATTAATACAAAAAAAGTTTCTTAGGAATAATTGTATTTTGTATGTTATATATTTACAATGTAAAATATGCTTGTCGTCAAATGCCTATGAATATTCATCCAAACCTTTCAATCTACTTTCAGAAGTTGTACTTCTTGGTATCCCCGACCGGACCGTATTTTAATTTATCTAAATATAATGGGCCTTAATTTTCTTAAAAAAACACCCAGGCCCTGCCTGAAAATTTTTTTAAAAAAAATATCAGGGCCGGGCTGTATATTTTAAAAAAGCCTATATTTGAAATCGATATAGCTATAAAAATCAAAAATAAATATAATTTATTTTTAAAAAACCGGGTCGGGCCTTAAAATTTTATTTAAAAAAAACCCGAGCTGGGCCCTAAAAATTTTAAAATAAATCCGGATACCTCTGCAGGGCTCTGTTATTCTTCTTAAAAAAGAGAATGTTCTCTCGTTAGTTTACTAATGGGAAGAGTTGCTAATATATAAAAACCCTTTTAATACATTGGGAATATAATCTTAAATGTGTTTGAAATAATGCAGAGCATCCATAGCATTTTTTGGGACCATATCAACTATAGTTAATCTTATAAACATAGTTATTCAGCTAATAAGGCATCATAAGATACTTTATGATCTTCAAGATAAAAATCCAACAAATATTTTTTTTTCTATCACCATCTGAAAAATGTTGGGAAGGCTTTTATGTAAGTAATATTTGCAGATTGGTAAGTGCTGCATGATGAATTAAAAACCATTCATTTATTTGGGTCATAAATGTATCTGTATCAAAGATATACCCTTCTACACTGATCCTATATTATTGTTTTAATTACGAGCTTGCCTTGCCGCAAATCGAGGGAGATAAATATTAAACACGTATAGCTCTGCTTTTGACTTAACAATAACATTAAAATATGAAATTCTTCATCAACATTAGCCCTAATTTCATTGAATTCTAATAAAATGCTCTCCGCTATTCTCATCTTCTTAATCTAGTCATTGTCATGTTTTTGAAAGTAATACACAAAATAGTTGTATAATTAAATAATACATTCTAATGAGAAAAAAATTATTTTGGAATAAGCATTGAATCCAATAATTTTCTTGCTTCTGAGGAAATATTTCCTTCAGGCCATTGTAATATTTCAGTAATCGCAAATAATCGGCTCTTCTAACTCTATAAAAGCTGTTACTGCTTGATGGCGGAGACTCTATCTCGTTGGACAAGGTTGCAATTTCTTTCTCC